CTCGGCCGTTGCGCGAAAGTCAAAGAGAAGCGATTCGCGCGTATTATCGGTATTCGTTTCCGATTGACTCTCTAAATAATAGTTTTGCGCTGCGAGGCCTACGCGCGATCATCCGCGCGGCGCGTACCGTCCGATGGCCGGTGGTAAGAGCGGTTTGCGAACTGTTTCCAACTATCGACAGAAGTTTCCGCCCACCACCAGACGGGATTTAATTAAATATCGCTAAACGCGGCTACGTGTAACTCGCTATAAATCGACACGTAGGTATACACGTTGGTAACTCGGCCGCGGCTGCACAAATTTCAATGCTTTTAATGCCCGTGCGCGGAAAAAAGCGCCTCGCGCGCGAGACTCGAATGGATGAAATTTCCTCCCCTATCGCGTAATGCGCATTTGATAAAAAGTTACACCCGCAATACGGAAAATTCTGTCGGCGTATTTTTCACCGGTTGCCGCTTTACATTTTTATCGTCGCCGGATTAGTCTATCTAATCCGACATTGCGCTGCCTTTTATCGTATCTAACGGCACTGGATGTATCAGAGAACACCGGGCCGAGAGAACGAATGAATGAACGAGCGAGCAGACGAGCGGCCCTCCCCTCGTTTCCAGCGGCCGAGTATCGCGAGTTTCCAGGTTTATAAGCATCCGCTAATTAAAGGATCTCGCGTCACAGCCGCCAAGGCTTTCTATTTTTCCACCTCGCACGACGTTAGCGGAGTTATTTCTTGTAAAATCTCTTGCGCGCTTTTTAACGAGCCAAAACTGGAACGATCGATCGGCACCGTCCAACCGCAAAAACGCAAGCACGAAATATATCGGGCGAGCCGTTTTTTGCCCGTTTCTCCGACAGATTGCGCCGCCATACGTTCCTCGTTTTCGTTTCCCAATCGCATGACAAATCGTTAGTCGAATATTACGAACGGCGATGGGCAGACCGAAATAAAGGCGGCGAGAGTACAAACGCGCGCGCAACAGCGCGATAATTCGCCGATAATATCCGTCGGTTAAGGAGCGCTTCCATCCGTTGTTAATATTGAACTAGAAAGGGGAAAAAAAGAAACGTATCCGGGCATTACGTGGGGACGTATCGATGAAAAATTTCGAGAAGGTTATTCGAAACGTCGATGCGCGTTGCGAGTAATACTTAATTTAATAAAATTCAATCAAATTATCGAATTAAATTAACGAATCTCTCCAACTGGTTGTTCATTTAATCGATGGCATTGGGCTCTTGCGTTTTATCGATAATATTCGCGTGTAGCGAGGAATGCGGGAACGTCAAATATTTAATTACTAAATTGACTCGTATTATTCCTGTGTTACTTAAAATTTTCATGCACTCTCTCTTTCTCTCCCTCTCCGTCTCTCTCCTGCTCCATCCATCTATTTGTCTCTCTCGTGGTGTGCACACGAGCGTACATTAATATTAAAGGAAGAATTAATTAACATCACGTATATTTATCATTAACATTCACCGCAACTTTTCAACGTCCATCGAATACCTTTGTAATTAAAGTTTAAATTAAAATCCTGCTGGATATGGGAACGATGAGAGGGCACGAGAGGGGAAAAGGGAAAGATAGATAGATAGAGAGAGAGAGAAAGAGAGGGAAAAAGAGAGACAGGCACGATATGCGATCTCTCACGTATCAAGAATTAGTCTCGTAACGCGTTAAAGCCGCCCGCGGAAACGGCCTAACGAATATCCGTTTGGCCAAACGAGCGCGCGCGTTCAAGCACGAAAACGATCCATTGCGAATTCCGCAATGCGTATAATTCAGCGAACGCTCTTACCTTCGAAGTCGCTCGATACAATCGACGTATCGCGCTCTCGGGAGTAATTGTATCGCACATTGCAACAAGTATATCGCACGCGCGGGCGCGCGCGAGGAAATCGTTAACGAGGGGGCGAAAGTTCCGCAATTAAGGCATCCTGCGCGCCAGTGTGTGACATCATTACTTTAATTATCTCAGGTAACTGCGTAATTGCGTTCAGGGCATAAATTACAATCCATATAATGTGCGCGCGTGCGCGCCGAAGATTGCCGGGGAACGTTTCAATTGCCCGACTCGCGCGTTACGAATGCGACGCGGGACGCGCGCATGTTTCCGCCGGAGCGGCCGCGCATTTTTCCTTTTCCCTTCTCTTCTTTTTTATCTTTTTCGTTCTTCGTTTCGCGGACGCGTCATTAAACACCGCGTGCTGCATTGTTTTCGAAAGCAGCGGCGCCCTGTCGATAGCAGCGAGACAGACAGCCGCGCGCCGTCACGTCGATTCGTCGGAATACCTGGTGATCCCCCTCGAATAAATCACGGACGGCATAATTAATCGAGCCGATTGTCTGTCACTGAGCGATATCGCTGAACAATCCGGTTTATTGGCCGAATGGTAATGTCCGCGATAAACACCGTCGTTGATTTAAGTATGGCGTCCGCTAATGTCCGCGGTATACGCGAGATACACCGTCCGGATGAAACCGGCTTCGAAAACACCGTCGAAGATCGTCGACGTCGGCGACGAGTCCGTCGAGTTTCACGCGAGAACGGCGAATTTCGAAAAGCTGAAATTGCCCGTGGATGAGAAGGAGGAAAAAGGAGGGAAGAGAATGAGAGAGAGGGGGGGAACTTTTCCCGGCGTTTCAACCCTATTCCCCCGTTCGTTCTTTCGATGCGCTTCATCGACCCGGCGGTAGTCGGGTTCTCGGTAGCATAGGTCGCGGTCGATTGATTAGTAGGATTTCAATTAACCTCGTGGGCAACGAAAAAGCCGGGCGAAACCTCGCGCGTTAGAGGACGACGAGGGAAGCCGTAATTCGGGAGCCAAACTTCTAAATGCGGCTCGGTTTGCAAAACCGTCGTGGACTCTTATTGAACGGCTGCTGCAATTGAACTCGGGATCGCCGATCTCCGCTCTCACCCTCCCCCGTCCTCTCCTCTTTAATCTCTATCACGTTTGTTTGCGAATTCGCCGGAACTCCGGCCTTCGTTTATCGCGGCCCCCTTTCACTCCATATGTACGAGAAGTAATGATAAAGTCAATAAAGTGCACACGCACTCGTCAATATTTATTCGCGTCGGAATTCCACGTGCGCTTCTTCTAACGAAATTTATATTGTTTACCGAACCTTGTCCTTCTCTCTCTCTCTCTCTCTCTATCCTGTCACATTTTTCTTCCTTTTCTCCTTCTCAACCGTTCCGCCGTCGCCCTTTTCACTCCTTCCCCGCGCCTCGGATAAAGGAAAGATTTGAAGCAGAAGTCGAGTTGACGGTTTGAGGAAGGTCCCCATTTCCCGCCTTTCCCATTATGGATTCCCCGCGATACGCTTCCCCGCTTGGCCGCACACGAAAGCTGAAACTTTCGCTTAATGACAGAAGTTTTATTGCCGGCCATCGTTCAACCCGCCGACATGCCAGAAGCGAACGCCGGCGAGTCGCGACGCATCGCGAGTACGGTCTCTCCGTCGTTCTCACCCAACTTCCGGCCGCGATTGCGGTCGGAATTTGGAAATACCGATTTCCATACCTGGCCCGGGAGCGACCGCCAAATTGCCGATCGCCGGCTATCTCGAAGTAACTCGCCTCCTTTTATTTCCGCCGCGAATAAATCCGAGAGAGGTGCGTTGTTTATAGCTGGGAAACGACAGGAATTGCGGCACGTTGCGCGGGATCGTGTTGCGTCGGATTTTTAAATTTTCATCCGCGAGATAACGCGCTCGCTTATCCTTTAAATCTTCATTCGGACAGCATCACGGCCGGCGCTATCAAACGGCTCTTGATCGAGCATCAGATTCCGTATCGTTTGCAAAGTTTGCATCTCTTATCGTCTCGCTCTATCTCTCTTTCTCTCTCTCTATCTATCTATCTCTCTCTCTCTCTCTGTCTGCCCCCCTTTCCCTCTTTACCTATCTCGCTCGCTGTGCGCCGCTTTATATCTCGCGGGAACGGCCTTCACATTTTGGAAAGCGCTGCGTTAAATAATGCATTCGTTGAAAGGGAGCAGGATGCTTCGGGCGCTTTGCAGCGGGAAATTACCCATATGGAGAATTTCTGAAAAGTAGCGGGGGATCCGCAGCACGAACGATAAACACGAACGGAGCTCCATCCCCGGCGTGTCTAAGCGCATATGCGAAGATAGTGCAATTTTACTGCAGATGCTCGCGGTTGTAATAGCTGCAGGACCGCCGGCGTGTGCATCGCGCTGATCCAGCCCGGTTTTACGATAATTACATAGACAAAACGTGCCGATACACGACGCGAGATACGACGTGCGAACGCGCCTTTTTTTTATTTAAAGCTCCGGGGGCTTTTTCGTTCGGTCATCGGAAACCTCTCTTCTTGATAAAACGTACCCTCGTCGCAGAATTCCGGGAGCGCGATCATTTCGGGAAGTATTTCCGCGCAAAACCGCGCGAGCGCGGGTGCTTCGGTCGGGAATGGATACAGCGGAAAAAAATAGGAAGGACATTGCGAAAAAAAAGCTGCACGCATATCTGAATATGCGCAACGATATTATTGTGCTCGGGTCCCCCTCTCTCTCTCTCTCTCTCTCTCTCTGTATTTTCCTCGTCGCGAGAAAAAAACTCAACGGAGTGTGTCGAAATAATCGAGCGGCGAAGATGGCCGCGAGGAAATTTACAACGGGTCACGTCTCGCTGAAATTGGCGCGGATATTCGAGGATAGAAAGGAATTCCGTGGAGTCTTTAGAGCGTTCATTTTCGCCGTCGCGATTGAACTTTATCGGCCAACTGCCGTTCGTGATCGCGATAACGCGGGTTTCCGACCGGCGGATGCGCGGCTCCAATATGACCAGTTCTCGGGGAAACAATGGACGCGTCGAAGAGGTTGTTCTCCGTCGATTATTTAAATGACAGGATCGTCAGGCGATCGCCGCCGGCGATTGAAATCGAGTGGCGCGAAAGTAGTTAGTCGATCAGCCGTTCTTATTATAAAATTGCGCGGGCGGAGGGGAGAGGAAGCAATCTCGTGGAAGTACTCACCTTTAACCGCATTCAGCTTATTCCCGACCATCTGTTTCGCCACGAATGCAGCCATCTTGGTACTTTGTGGTTATCGCACCGCTATCAAAGTCGCAGGAACCTGAAAAAGGAAAATCGGAGCTATCACTTCGCATCTTTCCGCGACGAGGAATGACATGAAGAAAACGAAAAGCGGAGACCGGAGAGGTCCCGCGCGCGCCCGGTTTGGTTTTCCGCGGAAATTCGGCGATATTACTGCACTTCCGGGAAATCGCGGCTCTCAGCTTTCGAACTTTCTATTTCTCCCGACGGTCGTTCTCCCGAAACAAATTTTACGGTACGCGGATAAACGCTTCGCGCATGATACTTTCCTGTATTTATTTCCTTTTTTCTTTCGCGGGACATGTCTGAAATTTTTCCCGTCTCTCTCTCTCTCTCTCTCTCTCTCTCTCTCTCTCTCGCTGAATTTGCCCATCTTGTGTCTCTTCCGCGGCTGCTCTTTATATTTATATAACATTTTCTACGAAAATTTTGCGCGATATTCAATACTCCCCGTGCAATTGACTTAACTTTCTCAAACGAGATCTTTACGAAGTAATAAAACTTTATCTCATATCATATATCCGCGGAATTATAGATCCTGGTTATAGCCGGCTTTTATTGTCGTGTAAAAAATTATGTTCGTTCCAGCCTGCAGACACGTATATGTGTGCGTTTAAACACGTTTTATGATACTTTTATCTTAATTATCATTTATCACCGATTTTTTGAAATTTCTCGGAGAAAATCGTATTACGCTTCTCGTTCTCGATCGTTTAGTTTACACAGTTTACGCAGTAAAAAATTTAGTATCAAATTTAACGCATTTCATATATCCCAAACGGTCTACCCAAATTCATATTTTTTTTTGTTAATTTAACACAAGGTGAATATATTGAAAAGTAACACAAATATCACGCCAAAAATGAGCATAGAATATATGTAATACTTTGATATTATTTGGAAGCAAATTGACATATAGTAACATTTACACAAGTTGAATATCGTCTCAACACAAAATATATATTGAGATGATATCAACACAATATGTTAAATTAACGCACGGTTACAATCATAGTTATATATTTTTATGTTAGGAATTTAACGCGAAAAATTTCGAACAAGGACCGATTTTAGCACACGTACAGAATGTTTGTCACTGTATGTGCATTTTGATCGAGCGCCTCTGTTAAACCTTAAATTCGCGGGAATATCCTCTATTGAAATCATCGAAAGTACGTGACGGTTACGAAGAATGTAACAGCTTTCTTCGTCGTATATATACGTTGTCGTCTCGCCATCTCTCCTTGTCTTCAGCGTAGAAATGAAATACGTTTCCCGAGGGACGTTTCCCGTCGGCCTTGATGCGCCGACGATGAAAGTATTTTAATCTTACGCTATACACGCACACACGTCATCTATGTCAGAACGGCCGGAGGCAGCCGAACGTGACCGCCTTCCCGCCTCGCTATATATTATATAATATTCCATAGAAAAAATTTGACAGTTAATAAAACGGCGCGTCGCGGTAATTGAATCGCGAGTACGCGCACCCGCGCGTAATTTTAACTTTATAATACACACACCTGCACACAGGCACAATGTGCAATCAACATGAGCATTACAAAGTGCAAGCCGCGGTAATGGCCGAAGGAAGCGAATCGGTCGGTCAGGCGATGAAAGAAGGGATCAATATAGAAGAGAAATATACAGGGTAGACAAGAGAATGGGGAACGAACGAGGGGTGGAAGAGTGCTGGAGCCTGAAGACGACGCCAGTGAAACGGCGTCGAGACGTCTCGGCGCCTCTGCTCCCTAACCCCCGCCGACCTCTGTGATTTTCCAACAACACGCGACAATTTATCCCCCAACAATGAGCGAGATAGAGTTGCTACTCATGCACGCCGCTGTTTTTCCGCCCCCGTGGCGTAACGTAACACGCCGGTGCTTCGTGACAACGGTTGTTTTCCGTTCAGAAAAATCTCTCTCGGTCGATCATCAGTCGCGCATCCCGCTGTGCTTATCACCGTGTCTCTTCTCAATAAAATTGTCCCGGCTTTGTTTCAACGTTGTGTCATGTTTATGCCAACACGGCGTTGTGGTCATCTTTTTAGCTCATTCGACGGTAAGCTAGCCTTCTCTCTCCCTTTCTCTCTCTCTTCCGAAGCATTATAATTCTCGTCTCGGTTTTGAAGCGAATACGGCTCCGCTATTAAATCGAGACACCTTCGAGGTCGTTGCGAGCGACCGGGAAGCGTGGAAAACCACGGATGAAATCCGATCTCCGGCGAGAGAGAGAGAGAGAGAGAGAGAGAGTCCGGTGAAGTCTGGTCGCCGCGTCCTACGCGATCCGTACGCGGCGAGAAGTGCAGGAAAGGGTTGGAGAGCAGCGGGCTCAGAGGCGCAGACTGGGCGCGCGAGCGAGATTCTCATCCTTCGGGGCTTCAAAGGAACGCCGTGTAATTTCGTACGACGCGCCCGAAAGTCCGCATCGTCGAGGATTGGAGTGGAAGCCTGCTCAAGTATCTCTCGTCTTAGAGAGCGAGAGAGCGAAAGCCAGAGACTGAGTGAGGGAGACGGAAGTGTGGAGGAGGGTCACGTGTGTGCTTCTGGCTTAGAGAGAAGCGCTTGGCTCGTTAGGGCCGACAGCCCGGTGGACGGACGGAGAGCCCGATGCGATCTCTCTCGATCCGTCGCTCTGATTTGTTTAATGAAAGCGACAGACGGAATTTTCGACTCGGCCGGAGCTTCCAGCCGGCTTCCTCGGCCGCAGCCGGCCGAACGAAGCGACGGGAATTATGATTTGATGGATGCTCGGGATTGCGATTGCGCGCATTACACGGGGAACGCAGTCTGTATTCCCGTTCTCGTAGGATCTTGATTGTGCGACTTAATGTAACGAAGGAGCGACTCGCGAATCTCGGGCGCGCGCGCGCGCGCGCATATTCCATCCCCGGCGAGATCCGGAAAGATTGAGAGCTTAATTACGACGCGCTCGATTCATCAGGCTTGACATCGCCAGCTAATTCGACACGTATAAATACTCGCGCGCCTCGATACTCGATCAAATTACGTCGCGTCATCCCGTAAATAAGAAGTCATGTAGAGGCCGTCCCGTCTGTCGCGGCGCGATCGATCGTTCCGTCACGGGCGATCCGTTGTCGGATCGGTTGTCGGCGGCGTTGTTGCTGCTGTTGCTACCGCTGTCAACGTCGCTTCCCGCCGAGGGCTGCTTGGATTCTTCATCTTGTCGTCGGGACGATCCGAGGATAGATATTAACCCCCTCGGACACCGCTAAAGTGAATACCGCGCGATAACCTTTGAACCGGGGCTTAAAATTCTTTAACGCCCCGATTTAGCCCTCCCTCAGGGAAGTAGGGCGAGGCCGATAAGGGCCGGAGGAAACTCGTTTCGAAATTTTGGTGACGCGTCTCCGAATTGTAGCGCGATCGAACAAAGTTACATAACACCGTCACCTTTGACCTTCTTCTTCGCTCGGAGGAATCTCGCGTGTAATCGCATCCGGCGAGCGATAATGGGGGAGGGGAGGGAAGGTGAAGGGAAAAAACTCGTTCAATTTGCGGGAAAAGTACACACCGGTATTACAAGCTCTCGCCGGCGCGGACGAAGCGCGCGCGGAAACCATTTCTATTCCGTCATATTAACAAGGGAAGCGGCGTTGCGGCTGCTTGCAAATGTCATTTCTGAGAATGCGCGAGATGTTAGTCAAAACCGGTAACACGGGTAGAACAGGTGGGAAAGGGCGTACACACGGGGCCGTGTGTGAGTGTTTTATCGGTGTGAGAGCACGCCGGATACGTTTATATTTACTCGTCGTGTTCGCCGCTCTCGCGCACACCGCATCGCGGGAGAGCGCATTTCTTATTAACGCTGTTCATCCTGTCACCAGGATGCCGGAATTTCCGAGACGGGCGCATCCATGCATCTTACGCAGCCGGGGCTGCAACGAAAAACCCGCTTGCGTCATTCACTGTCGAATTTTCAATTCTGCCCGCCGCGACCTCGTCTTTTTTCCCCCGGCTTCGCCGAACTCTCTTGCTTTCCTCGCGCGCAACCTGCCCTTCCGTGTTTCGCGTTCCTTTCCGTTAAAAAGAGGAATTAAATTCCTCCCGAGCTCGAGCGCCACCGAGATCCGAAAAAATCAAGTGGAGTTTACGCGCAACTTTGCTTGCACATCGACAACGTCAGCATACAATCGACTTCTCTCTCTCTCTCTCTCTCTCTCCTTCCCTCACTCTTTCTCACCTAGATTGCGATGGAAGCGATTGTATGTACCAAGAAAAAAGTCAGGTAAAAAGAACCGAGTCTAAAGACTGTGCATATTTTGTTGCGCAAACTGCAATCGAGTCAAGTTGAGCAAAAATCCAATAGGATCAACAGTCTTATGTAAAAATATTAATTGCAAAATCGAGTTAAGTGTGAAAGGTTAACGAAACCGAAAATATATATTTGCATATAATAATAATAATATTTCCTTCGGTCACTAATGATCTCAGAGTTTGAAAGTATCGAAGACGCAATGTTGAGGTCGACCAAAAGACGCAGCATCAGCGGTACAGCTAGTTTTACTGCTTTATTGAAACGTACATAAATGAATAATAATCAATAAGTAAATGAGACGACGCAAACATATATAAAACATCTGCATAGTAACGACGCAAAATATATGTTGAGCAAATTACAATATATGAATAATCAGTCGTCTAATATTGAATTAACAAATAGTAAGCAGTAATTCAACCGATCGATACGATGTATCTTGACGCAGCAGAAGCAACGGAAGAAGCTGTCAAGAAAATCAGTTAACTGCATCTCATGGGGAAGAGAATTATAATATTTAAGCGCACAATATGAGAACGCGGCACGATACTTGTTTGTTCTGTAACGAATTGACAATAAACCTTGGAGGCGTGTGTCGCATAATTCATCACCATGGTATTCAACATTACGGTGAAGAAGATTGTCAAGATACTCTGCATATAATATTGATGATGCACAAACCGTTGATATATTTTGAGCCGGTCATATCGCTGATACGTGGGCGATATGCGTTCATATTGT